TAGCTTGTCAAAAATCAGTTCAACAACACTCAGTTTCCACCATGACTGCAGTCATATTTAGCAGCTACCATGATTCATCCAACTGTTTTAAAATTATTAATATTATTGTTGTGGTTGTTGTGATTTGTTGATGTAGCTACAATCAGAGGCCACTATGATGAAATCCATTGATGACATTTCCACTCTCCAGATCAAACTGTGTGAAAAAACAGCAGGCCTCTTGTTATGACCCAGTGGGTTGAACATTTGGGGCTCTTTGRGTTAAATCACCAAAATGTTCAAATCACAGGGTCAAAAACACAAAAACAAACAAAAAATAATACCTTTAGACATTTTGTAAAACTTTGTTTTTCATTGATTACATCATAAAGGGATTTAAATGTTACAAAAAGCGCCTCAGAGGGGATATTGTTGTTTTTGTGTGCGTTGTGTTTTGAGCTGTAACTATAGTAAAGCTGGTCAACAGGTCATTAGCTAATTGTCCTCTGAGAGCAGGTAATTAGGYAGCAGCACTCAGGAGAGCCAGGTGGAGTTTGAACACAAACTCTTTCACCTCTCTGACCTTTTAGATCCACGGATAAACAATTTCTAACACTGCTTCTAAAAAACAAGTTTCTGATTTTTCCGTTTCTCTTTTGACATTTTTATATTATTTATAAAAACATTTATAATTTATTTTTATATCTCTTCATGTTGTCTTTTCGTTGGCACTGTCCCTCCTCTGGACATGTCCAAACCATCTCGGTCTTTATGTCCCAGTCCTTCAACCTGTTCAATCGTATCCACTCCTGTCTCTCCCAAAGAGAACCTCAGCATCTTCAGCTCTGACATGTGTCATCTTTTTGTCTCCAAACCAGACAACACAGCTGGTCTCACTCACTTGTAAAGCTTTTGTTTGACCTTTGCCACAGGGGGAGCTGCTTGAAATCAGTGTGCCACATTTGGAAACATTTGGTCTTACACATACAAAATCTATGGGTCATGCATTAAAATCAAGCATGAAAATTTTATACATTTATTTATATAATAGGTTTTGGCTCTGCTTGGGTAAGCTGTTAGCTCAAAAATCAAGGTGTTATCAACAACGTGCATCAGCTAAAATGGTTAATTTTACTTTCTCTGACTGTATTTGAACTTCTTTTATCTAGGTTACACTGCAAACATCAGCCATCTAAAAATAAGTTAAAAATACTAGAATATAGTCTGAATCTGTAATGTGATTACATTTGGTGAGACTTCTTGAAATAAGGAAAAGTTCCAGGCTAACAAGTTTATAATCTAACACGTTCTACTCTTGCTTAGTATATCAGTCCCAAAACAAGACCTTTTTTTCTGGATATAAGATTGTAAGACTTAAATGGATAATTTTAACAAGCCAGAGTTCTGATATTATGACAGGGCATGCTACAATCATCAAATTAAAATGATCAAGTGACGGTGTCAGAACTCTCCTGAGTGGAAAAATGATTGATGACGTGTGAAACAAAGCAGCATTAAAGACTGAATTTTCTTCCTCGCCTACATTTGTGCTGCGTTCACAGATCGGACTGAGAATGTGAACCTAAAAGTAAAACAGCTGAACTGGAACTTGTTTATGTCATTAACTGTATTTCTATGTATTTTTTTACAGGTGTTTATAAATCCGAGCACTGTTTTATTCAGACAGGAGTAATGTTTGTGTGACTGTAGAACAACTAGAAAACTGGGKTTTTGGTGAGTGGAATGGAAAACAGCACGCTCCCTTTTTACTTTAACCTCACCATGTTTGTGAACATCGGACAGTACCGCTTTGTTGCCTTTACGTTTTGCCTTCTGCTCTACAGCTTCATCGTGTCGGCCAACCTGCTGATGATAMTRGTGATTTGTCAGTACAGAGCGTTGCACCAGCCCATGTATATGTTTGTTGCTGTGTTATCGGCCAACGCCCTGTACGGCTCCACTGCTTTCTTCCCCAGGTTTCTCATGGACCTGCTGTCTGATGTTCACTGGATCTCACATCCTGCTTGTTTCACTCAGATTTATGTCATTTATACCTATGCTTGCAATGAGCTGACCATTCTCGGCATTATGGCTTTTGATAGATACGTAGCTGTTTGTCATCCTTTACACTATCACAGCAAAATGACCACCAAAACTGTCATCATGTTGTCTTCATTGGCTTTGATTTTTCCAGCTTTGATTATTACTTCAGTCATTTTCTTATCTGCTCGACTTCCTTTATGTGGCAACAAGATACAAAAAGTCTTCTGTGCCAACTGGGACGTGGTTAAATTATCCTGCGTTAGCACCACTGCCAACAATATTTTAGGTTTTTTTATAACCATAACTACAGTTTTTTTCCCACTCTTTTATGTCCTGTTCACCTATTTACGAATCGTGCTCGTCTGCTGGAAAAGATCAGCAGAGTTCAAAGGTAAAGTGCTGCAGAGCTGCCTGCCTCACTTAATTTCTTTCATCATTTATTCTGCTGCAGTCATTTGTGACATTGCCCTGAGTCGATACAATGTAGATGATATGTTTGTTGTTGTGATTTTTTCTTTGGAAGTTCTCATCATTCCTCCGGTTCTGAATCCTCTTGTGTACGGGCTGAAGTTGCCAGATATTAGAAGACACATTTTAGGTTTGATGTGCAATAAAAAAAGATAACGTCAAACATGAAATGATTGTGGTTTCATTTGTCCAGAACTTAAAAGAGCAACATTGGAAAATTTATTGAAGTAGAATGTAGTGTCTGAAATTCCTCAAATGACAATTTGTAATTCCAATGAATTGAACCAAGCAAAAACAAGAGGTTTTAATTGATGCCTGAAAATTTATGCAAGTGGAATGACATGTAGTGAAAGTATTTTCTCTGGCTTAATGTCGAATAAAAATAAAGGTTCTGAATTCCTTTCCTCAGAATCAGCTGAGACATTGTAAATAAAGGTCTCAAAGACTGACCCTGTGTGATTTATTTCACGAGGTTCAGACAGTCCTCTCCTCTTTTAATTTCAGTATTTTGTTACATTTATCACAAAAACAAAACAACGTTTTAACAGATATTATCCTCAGATGAGCATGTTTTCTGATGGCTACTTTTTGCAAACAAAACAATCATTTTTTTCAAATAAAAAAAAGACTACTTTTGTTCATACGTTGGAGCCTATCCTGAATAACTCCCAGTCTATTTTGATAAAAATGAGTATTTTTTTAAATTACTATTTAAAAATGATTTACTTGTGAATCATTTGTTGGTGCAACAAGTTGCTTTAAGTGATGTAAACTACCGTATAGTTTAGTTACTCTGTAATTATTCATTGTCTTAAAATAAAAGGAAAGTTAAGATCTTGTGATGTGGGGTTCTGTGGAAAACTTATAAACACGTAATATCTTACCTGTTGTAGATAGCTCCTTGAATGACTTCACTTTACAGAAAAAGAGTTAATGATGATCAGACTGATGAGTAAATGGCTAGTCCAGCTTGTATCAACAGTATCTGTCATAAAAAACTTGTAATAATTTTTTTATTAAATTTATTAATTTAATTGAAAAACACATTTACATAAACAAAACAATACAAATAAAATAAAATGAAAGATAGCAGAAGAAAAAAAATCTACAATATCTGCCCCTTTTGCAAAAAATAATACTAATTTCAAACAACAATAATCCATTCGTTATCTTTCACTTCTTCCAAGTCAAGTTTTGAATGCAAAATTTATTTCAACTGCTTGTACCTATAATCTTGTTTTTTATGTCACTGTCCAGAGTTTGTGACTGCAAATGAGGGAAAGTAGACTGATCTGTAAACAGAGAGCTTCAACTCATGGCTCAGCTCATTCTTCAACGCAACGGACCGACACAGTCCACAGTMCTGAAACAGCACCGCTCCATTCTTTTGAGATTGGGGGGTTCAAAGTACCTCCATCTCCATCTTMTTCTGCTTATCCATAGTCAGGTCACAGAGGCAACAGGTCCAGGAGAGAAACCCAGACATCCCTCTTCCCAGTGACACTTYCCAGCTCGTCCTGGGGGACTCGAGGCRTTCCCAGACCAGAGTGGATACATAATTCCTCCAGCAGGTCCTGGGTCTTCCCCRGGGCCTCYTATCAGTGGGACGTGCCTGAGACACCTCTAAAGGGAGGCGTCCAKGAGGCATCCTAATCAGATGCCCGGACCACCTCAACTGACTCCTTTTGATGTGCAGGAGCACCTCTACTCCAAGCTCTCCCCAAATGACAGCGCTCCGCCCCTATAAGGCTGAGCCCGGCCAACCCACAAAGGAAGCTCATTTCAGATGCTTGTATTCAAGATCTCGTTCTTTCAGTCATGATYCACACCTCATGACCATAGGTGAGGGTTGGAATGAAGACAGACCAGTGAATCAAGAGCTTTGCCTTTTGATTCAGCTCTTTTGTCACCATGACTGACCAAAGCAACACCCTCATTATGAGGCCCCAATTTGTCAATTCAGCTCCCGCTCCATCCTACCATGACACCCAGATACTTAAACTCCTCCACTTGAGGCAGAGACTCTCCCCCAAACTAGAGGGGGCAATCCACCCTGTTCTGATCGAGAATCATGGCTTCAGACTTAGAGGAACTGACTTTCAACCCAGTCGCTTTACACTCAGCTGCTGACTGTCCCAGTGAATGCTGAAGGTCTTGGAATGAAGACGCCAACAGAACCACATCATCTGCATTCAGCAAAGATGAGACCCTGTGGTTCCCAAACCAGACAGCCTCCTCTCCACGACTGTGACTTGAGACACTGACTTTAAACACTACAAAAAGGATTGAGACAAAGGACAGCCCTGGCGGAGTCCAAAACGCACTGAGAACAAGCTCAACTTTGTGCCAAGAATGTGAACACAGCTCCTGCTTTGGTTCTACAGGGACTGGATTGGCCTTAGTAGCAACCCACAGACTCCATACTCCTGCAGCACGCCCCACAGCAGGCCGCAAGGAACACAGTCATAATTCTTCTCCAAGTCCACAAAACACATGTAGACCAGAGAGGCAAACTCCCATGACCCCCTTAGCAACTGTGCAAGGGCAAAGATGGTCCAATGTTCCAGGACCAGGACAAAAGCCACACTGCTCCTCTTGAATTTGTGGTTTGACAATCAGTCAGAGCCTCCCTTCCAATACCTGGAAGTAAACTTTTCCATGATAGTAGATTATACTCTCCAGTCCCCTTTTTATAAAAAAATGTGAACCACCACCCCGGTCTGCCACTCCACAGGAGTTGTCCTAGTCCTCCAAGCGATGTTGAAGAGACGTGTCAACCATGACATCCCCACAACATCTAGAGCCTTCAGCATCTTGGGGTGAATCTCATCCGTGCCTGGCGCCCTAACACCAAGGAGCATTTTGACTACCTCGGTGACCTCTGGCATGACAATGGACTTGTCTTCCCCTGAGTCTTCAGACTCTGCCTCCTCAAAGGTGGACATGAAGGGTGAATAAAGGAGATTTTCAAAGTGTTCCCTCCACTGCCCAATGACATCCTCAGTCCGGGTCAGCAGTTCTATACTCAAAGCAAGTACAGTCTGGCCTGGGACAGGGAACACTTTCCTTTCCTGAGTCGCTGAACAGTTTGCCAGAATCTCCTCGAGGCCAATCAAAGTCCTTCTCCATGACTTCTCTGAATTCCTCCCACACCTAAGTTTTTGCATCTGCAACCACAGAACCTGCAACCCTCTTTGCCACCTGTCAGCTGCTTCAGGAGTCTTCTGGGAAAGCCAAGTGTTGAAGGCCTCCTTCTTCAGCCTGACTGCCTCTATCACCACTGGTGTCCACCAGAGGGTCCTTTGGTTGCCGCCTTGACAGGCACCGACTGAGATGAACACTTGTTGAGATATTCACATGTGAAATAACAGGAAGTGATGTCAAAGGGAAACAGACCAAAAAATTGAAACAGACCATTTTTACAGCTAACATCAGAATATAGAAAATTATTTGATGTTTCTTTAGAATATTTTGAGTCACTATCAGAGAGATGAAGAGTAAGCTTTCTAATAATATTGTTTCTAAAAACAAAGACCAAAAGTTCCCCTTTGATGCCAATTCCTGTTTCACTTTGGCTGAACCAAGTTCAAAAGTAAATATGCCATTTACTTGAGAAAAATAGCTAAAATCATGTGCATCATGTCAAGTTTATCAAATATAAAGATGTTTTCTTTGATGTTTTGTATTTGAAGGATATGCATGTCACAGGTACTTTAAGATTTTACCTGTCTACTTTAGTCTTGCTCCAACTAGCTTTTAGCTCATCAGTTAAAGAGATGTTTACAACAGAGGTCTATAAAATACTTTAAAAAATAACTAAGTAAAAGTAAAATGACATGAACAGAAAATGACTTTGGTAAAAAATTCACTGATTAGAAAACTACTCAAGTAAAAGTCATAAAACGGTACACAAAGATTAGGAAAGTAAAAATAAAAGTACTTTTACACACTCTTTAAGAAATAAACTGTTGAATTTACTAAACCAAACTGGTTCCACTAAGCCAGGTTGAGTAAATTGAGCAATATATGTATATTCTTTGTGTAGAGGGGTGAAAAATGAGCTCTTAGTA